AATAATAATAATAATCCGAGCAGTTCCAATAGGGTCTTCGCACCCTTTTGGGTGCTCGGACCCTAACTATAAAGCCAGTCTTTACTTAGTTTAGTCTTATACGGCTTAGGCATCCCTGTATTTCTGCAGTCTCTGTGCGTTTCACCCTGTGTGGGCACAGCTGAACCACTAAAAACTGAAAAGCCTGCCTCTAGTCTCTTGCTGGACCGTGTATCCTGCAATAGGCCTGTCGTTGTTTGCATTGCAAATGCCTCAGTGAGTTTGGATCTAATGTAGCTTGACGTCTGTATGTGTGTTTCTGTGTCTGTGTGTGTGTTTGCTCTTGTCTCAGGGTGGCCAAATGAACTGTTCAGCCTGAGGACCAAAGATCACAGGCCTTAATCCAACAGCAAGGGGAGAGAAAGAGCGAGAGAGAGAGGAGCGTGATCACCGGGCATCTGTTCTCCAACTTCTCGTTACAATATGAGCTGGGATTGAAGACTTGCCTCGTAGTTTCATTTTGTGGTAAGTTTTATACTTCATTTGTGCTCCACGGGAGAATGTTTGCTGTGTTTTAAAGTTCATTAGAGGGCCACATTACAAATGGTTCACACGTGTGGTTTTATGCTTAAATTTTACTAAAAGCTACACCAACAAATGAGCAGAAATGTTACATAAATCACTGAGGTAGTCACATCATGATAGAGATCAGCCATTGAGGTTATCAGTGGGCGCAATTTAGAAGCAAATGCAAACGTAAACATGTGGTTTGTGCAATTTGAGGACATCCATATGATCCGTGAACAGGCACAGTGACATGTGGTTTGACTTAGAGGGACTGTGCACACAGGTTAGAGTGGGAGCGCCGCAGAGTTCGTCATCGTTTCACATGGACAGAATGTTTTTCTCCAAAGCCAGCCACAACACGAAGCACATGTTAGAACAAATGGAGCTAACGTTACTTGTAAGGATTAAAGGCCTCTTATTTTGAACCGGCCCTTCTCTGTTGCCATCAACACTCTTAAGTGTCTCGTGGCGCAACACCATGATGTCATCAAGCCAGGGAGGTGGAAACAGTTGACAAAAAGGCAACAAAGAGTAGAAAAGCCAGAATCAGCAAAAAAAAAAAAAGCGGGGGAGGAAGGGAGCTGGATAATGGTTAATGAAAGAAATTTGGGAAGACACAGCAGCACAACATGACCGAGGTATGGTGGCAGATCCAATAAATGTTTTCTTTAAGATGAGAAACAGCTTTGCTTCTCCTGAAGACAAAAGCTACAGACTGAGGAGGTTGTATGAAGGTTACAGCGGGGACAAGCGAGCAGTAATTACTGAAAAGAGAAAACAGACTGCAAAGGGAGAATGAACCTGAACCGCTGTTGATCCAGTGCTGGTTTTATTGTAAGAAAGACTTCCTCTGGAGTGTTAGGAGTCACGACTCTACAGCGTGATTAGATACAAACACAATAGAGTTCATCAGACTGACAGAACGCCAAGAGGAAAGACTGCTGAAATGTCAGGGACACAATGTCTGAACAATGCGACCGCGTCTCGGCTTTTTCCACCGAGCTTCACAAATTGATCTGGGAGTCCCATCTGACAGGAAGGAGTCCTTTGTGGCTACTTGGAAAATTGACTCTTGACCTCATTTATAGAAGGTTGTCATGGTTCAGAGGGAATGACAGAGGCAAAGTGCCATGTGCCAAATGCATTATGATGATCCCACATGAAGCCAGTACTTAGGAAGGACACAGAGGAGCTTTTGTTGGAGACTCGGAGGCCTCATCCCACTTCGCCCAGAGGCACACGAACAAGTGATGTGGGTTTGACATCCAAGTGCTGCATAGAATGTAGCTCTGTAGGAAGGGAGATGTGAAGCACCTGGAGGAGCATTCATTGGGTGAAATTGAATGTCTTACACTTGCTGTTTTTCAGGTGTGAAAAGGGTAAAGTTGAAATCACCATGGATGTGAAGAAAAAAGAAATGGACCTCCTCAGCAACACCATAGCTGCATATGCACACATAAAAGGTAAGTCACGATGCACGACCAGCGTTCAGGATGTCAAAAGGTATTTCATCGTGCAACATTTAATTGTCCGATGTTCTTTATTTGTGTCCTTTCCGTAGCAAACCCAGAGAGCTTCGGCCTTTACTTTGTGCTCGGGGTCTGTTTCGGCCTGGTGCTGACGCTCTGCCTCCTGGTAATCCGCATCTCCTGTAAGCCGCGGACCAACGTCGCCCCCTCCACGCCTGAGAAAAAACACTTAAAGGACATCAGCGAGGAGGATGAGGAGAGCGAGGACGATGAAGACGAAGAGGGGGAGGATGTGGAGGCACCCATCCCCTTGCCCAGCACAGAAATCCCCGTTGGTAATCACACCACCCAGTCAGACGGGACACTGAGCGTGAACGTATTTACTTCCGCCGAGGAGCTTGAACGCGCGCAGCGGCTGGAGGAGAGGGAACGTATCATCCGCGAAATCTGGAGGAACGGCCAGCCTGATATCCTGGGATCGGGAACAGGGACTATCGGAAGAGTGCACTACTACTAAGACACACGAGGCTACGAGGGAGACACTGAACTCTGTGATAGAGAAACTTTTAGGTTGTGTCCCTGAAGCCTCTGATAGATATAAAGAGACTTGTAAAAAAAACAAAAAAAAAAAACAGTGATGATGCCACATTTGATTTATTTGGCTCTGACAGAGCTGAACGATGAGATATTGCACTTCTTATGTAGCAATTTTAACTGACTACATGAAAATAAACCAAGAGATGTCTTAAAGACTGATTAATCCTTATGTGGTGTGAACCTGGAGCCGATGGACACTTGAAATCCACCTGTCTAATAAAAATACGGTGCTTAACGAACACAAGGTTTGTGTATGTAACAACTGACAAGTGAAAGCATTAATTAGCACAATGTACTGTTTGTTGCAATGACGATTATTTGTTTGCAGTGACAACACTTCCCAAGACTGATGACATTGTGGGGAAAACTCAAAGCAGGTCTTGAAATCACCCCAAGGATTAAAAAGGAAATTTCATATCAAACAGGGGAGTCCGACACACACACAGTATCATGTAGAACAGTCAAAATTGGAGTCCTTAATTTATGAGCACATTCTATCCATGTTTTTATGTTTTCAGGGATGATTCCACCAAAGGAAATGACAGAATTAAAGTATTAAGCTGAAATAACTTACTGCTGTTTCTCTTCATAATGGTGAACAAACACTCAGCAGGCTCTCCGTACCCGTGGGCCATTAGATTCCTAACCAAGCTTTAAAAAAATAAATAAAGAGAGAAAACCTAATTTTGACATTATGATGAATGGAAAAGTCAGCGTTTGTTACTTGTTATTTCTCACTGTAGCCTCATATGCGCCTTGAAAGGATAAAAGGTTAAGTTTTCTAATAAACGTCTGGGAAAGTCTTGGGACAGTTAATGTTTTTACAAGCCTGACCGAGTCAGACATTAGGTTTGGGAAGATGTTCTGATAACAGGATGATTCAGACAGAAATTAGCTCACAGCCTCTAAAACCTTCGACTAGAAGAATGTCTAAAAGTCAGCAGACAGCTCTGTAGCCTGTATCAAGTGCACCTTTGTGTGAAGGCTTTAACTTTGTGAACACCAGCTGTCACAGCTTGTACGTCATCTCCTGTATTTCCTAAATAAACCTGCCAACTAGAAGTCCGAGCATGGTATTAAAGGCTGGTTTTATTGTTTAAACATTTGTGTCTCTTTGCCTTTACTGCTGATTCAGTTTGGTTCTTGATCATGTATGTGGAAGCCGGAAGTTTTTCTTCACCTGCTGCTGACAACTTAGGACCACAAAGCTAAGTTGCACCTGTTTACCATGTGCAATGTGAAGCATGTCTTGACTGGCTTGCTGTTATGTGCTTGGCTATGTTTTTAGCCGTGCTAAAGCTGCAAGGCTGTGTAGGTCAGCCAGCTGGTTGACCTTCATGACATTCGTGGTTCCTGGAAGATGAATCCCACAGATTTTTCTACTCTCCTTTTCCAATAGTGCCTTCATTTCATGTGCATTCTAATTTTGGTTTTGAATGAAATATTTCGACTGCTCGGCTGTATAGTGGATTTCATGTCACCAGCAAATCAGAGCATAAAGCTGAAAAGATCATATGTTTGGTTTTGTGTGAAACCTTTGGTGGAGACTGGGCCTACGGAGGTCCGGGAAACACTGTGATCTGGGTCATCGCGGTGCAAACCACTTGTATGGCCCGTCAAACTGTCCACTGTCAGTATATCAAACTTGGCCTCCATGCAATTGCATTTGACACTTCATATAATTTAAATCTAAACAATTTACAACAATTATAATTGGCATTTGACATTCTGAGATAACTATGTGTTGGTCCTATTATATCATATCGTCATATTAAATCATCATATGCAAATATATTGGCCGGCAAAATGAAGTTGGCGCCAAAGATTAACTGTAAAGCTTTTTTTTCAAACTATGCCAGTCTTAAAATGTATTCCACACAAAACTAGATGTTACTTTGTGGTCCGGTGACTGCCGTCCCTGTAGTGCTTGTTGACAGCATTCAGTCATAGACACCTTCTTTCTGGGAACTTGTTAAAAGAAATGTGTGTTATGAGACGTGCAGTATAGTGCTTCACAACTTTTAGGCACGATTATGACAAGTTGGAGTACAAAAACATTACATTTCCTGCTTTTTTGGCCAGCGTCAGGCCCTTTGACAAATTTGTGATCCAGTATTTCCAAAATTAATGACATTCCCATCATCCTCTGTGTTTAATTAGCCAATGTTAGCATGCTGAAGTGCTTAACGAAGATGATGTTCATGATGAAACATTGACTTCAGGCTGTTAACTGCTTTTATTGTGAGCATGTTAGCGTGCTGACATTACCATTTAAGCACTCCTAAAAGTACTGCAAACAGCAACTAGTGTGGCGACAGTGTTTTTAATACGTACAGCCAGTCCCAGCTGTCTCCTTGACATTTCTTGAAATCTGCTAACCGCTAATTTCACACTCTTGTGCTATTGATACTGTAATGCTGGCTGCTACTTTCTGCTCTTATGGTGCTAATATGATGCCTGCTGCTGGTATATGTGTCTTTAGAATACAAACTGCTAATTTATAACCCTTAAGCTGTTGATATTCAATTCGCTGGCTGCTACTTTCTGCTCTTAGGGTGTTAATGTGATACATGCTATACAGTACTAACCGCTAATTTAGCTAATTATGCTGTTGATGCTGTTGATGCTGTGAATGCTGGCTACTAATTTCTGCTTTTATGAAACTAATATGATGCCTCCTGCTAATATCTGCTTTATTTTTTTTCAAAGTTCACTGCTATTTTTTTTTGCTCATATTGCTCATTGACACTGACAATGTTGAACGTCAGCGTCTCCTTTAAACCGACTGAAACTCTGCGTAAAAGATGGTTGGAAAAATTAAACTAGTGTGGAAATGTTTTAATCTGCATTCTTTCTAGTAAGGCCAGCAGGAGGCAGCTCATCTGATTGCAAAACCAAGTCAGAATGTCTATGAAGTCTATGAGAAAATGACCCTACTTGTCCCTTGCTCTGCCACTTAAATATTTTCCCAATGAGTTAATGGGAAACGCTGGTTTCAAGTCTTACTGGATGCAGCATGCATGCTTGTAAATTATGGTCCCAGGGTGAAATAGATAATAAAACAGAGCCAGTTTTAGAGTTCTCGTTTGGTATCAGATGACCGAGATGTCCACATTCCCAACCCGATGTCCACATTGTGGTGGCGAGGCCCATCTTTTATGTACAGCTTTGGTACAGTGCATTCTAAACTCTGCTCCTGCTCACTCTATATGATGCCTGCTTCTAATTTCTCCTCCTATGTATTGCTGACTGCAGACTTCTTCCCTTATTCTGCTGATCTCTGCTGTATGTGGATTTGTATTAACAGCAAATACCTGCGAAAGGCTTTGCTGCATTGGAATAACAACATTTTCTTGCTTGTTGTTTACATCGTGATGCGTTCAAGCTTTTCACGGTGAAACGTGATGATGGTAATGTCATGGAGAGAACTGGCTTTGCTGTTTGATTTAGACGGGCTCCTCGTGACTCACGGCAGACTTGGGTCGCTAGTGGGTTAATGTTGTACACTGGGATGTAAACATGTCCCATTAATTTAATTACTTCCCTGTAATATTGACTTTACTGGAAACTCAGGATGTGTTTAGTCAGTTCGAGGTAGGGAGTCGTTTTCCTCTTTATGTTTGACTTGGGACTGTCTGGGTTAATGGTAAAGCTTCTGTCCATGCAAAGACGGTCATCTTCTGCTACTCAGTGCAACCCAGCACTCTCTAAGAGCCATCTAAGTTTGCAAGATTGCCTATTCTCTAATTGGAGGTTATTCGTCTAGGAATGGCCACACAGGAACCAGACCGGGCTCACACAAAGAAGGTGCTCAGCAGACAGTATTTACTCTTCGTTGTCTGTGGCGTCTTTCAGGGTAATAGCCTGCGCATAGTAGATTCCACATAATGACTGGAGTCGGGCTCTCTGATGTGGTTTTGGGAGGAGTGTGCTATCATCGCTCCCCAAAACTCTGCTGTTTTGAGTTTGGTGCATGCTTGCAGGAAATGACACGGTCGCAGAGCTTAGATGGCCAATATCAGCTCCGCGTTCGCATAATAAATCTGTTCCACGTAAATCGGCCGACTGAAGTCTTGAATTGCTGCCAAGAAACACTTACAGAACATTGATGAACTGCCCACATGGGGCGAATGTTTGTACTGGACATTATCACGAGTCAATCTTCAGCGGTTTGGTGATTTACAAGAAATGGAAGTATGAATTCTTGGCACATCAGCGAAGCCATACAAAGGGGAAAATGTACTAAGTACTCATCAGTGTATGCCATGTGTCAACATTCTTTCTATTGGCCATCCTGGAGCCAGAAACAGCAATCTTACGTCCTTGCACCGTGGGGCCGGTGTAGCGTTGCATCTAGGTCTTGTTTGGAGAGGGAAGGCAGACGATGAACTTGTGCTAGCGTCGTTCCTTAAAGTACAAAGTGTGCTGAAGGAGCAGACAGGGCTCAGGTTTGCCTTTGGGGCCCGCTCTGTTTTCAGATGGCGTCTTCTCTGTTGAGGTCTTTTCTCTGATGTGGCCGTAGGCTTTCAGAAATCGGTGGCGTTGATGGTGTGGATTCTTTGAAGCAGCTGTATAATTATATTTGAATAAACTTCTTGTGTACCTCAAAATCATAGGATTAAAAATATGTTTCACCAGACCCATGATTCAGTATTTTGAATAGTGTCCTCGTCACTTTGCTCAATATAATCAGTGTATTTTTATCCATATGGTAATTATGCAGTTATGAAACAATACATCAGCAAAATTAAGTTAACAGCAACTTCAAGGACATCCAATTTGGGGAGCCATAAATCTGAACCACAACACGGCGTGGGAAAGATTTCCATATAGACTAACATAATACAGACTGTCATTTGTGGTTCTTTGGCTGATTCCGGAAAAAGGGCCTTTATAGATGGCAACAGCTACATTCATGCTACTTAGCTATTGCTTTAAATAGCAAATGAATAATATTTCATGGCCGTGGCAAAACATTTTGTTAAGGTGATGCACAGCTGGACGCATGCAGATTTATTTCTGCATGTGTCCGACTTTGACAGAACTGAAGTCTTTCTTCAGTTCAGGTCCTTTTTTTTGTTATTTCTAATTTTAACTCAGAGGGATTTTTTGGTATTTGACCTCGGAGCTCCAGAAGGCTTCACTTTTCAACAGTCGGTTTTCAGTACTCCCTAAAGATCCATCTTAGTTGTTTTAAATTCCACCCAGTGTTACAGCGCTCTGCTGTCATCATCTGAGACCCACAGTGCTGTATTTGTTTCAAGAGATATTCTCATAAGTTGTGTGTTGTAACTTATCGACGTGCAGCACCTGGCATTACTAGAGGTCAGTCAAAAAGTAAAGTCCTCACTTGTGTTTGCAGGGCTTTAATTGTTCATGTCTGTCAAAAAATTCTTCACGTTTCTGCACAATCAGCTGACCCGTTGTTTGTTTACCCTCATTTTCTTCACCCCTCGTCCGAGTGGGAACATGCCCTTAATGACCATTATTCAACATAGCTTTTAAAAATAGCTTGTTCCCATGGACATCTCAGAAGCACCCAATCCCTGATGTGCTCCAGATGTTGCCCAGATGTCCTCTACACTAGGCGACAATAGTAGTACCAACACGCCACCACCACCGCTTCGCTCAGCATTTGGAGCCAAAACCAAATCTTTAAACATTGTTGGCGTGGTCCAAATATAGCCATGTTAAATAGGTTTTCTTATGATGGGTGCGAGGAATTTCTCATTAACTCCCTTCCCACATTTTTTTACATTTACTGTGATGACTCATTAAAATCTGAGTCAGTTTTTCTCTCAGCGACACGGGACACCTTTTTTTCATTTAACTAAATAAATGACCACGAACTTGGTGCAACTCCTGGAGCATTTCAGTTTTTGTCTCATGAAGGCACTATTCATTAACAATAAAATGTAAACACAATTACTCCTCTAAACGCAATGTATAGTTTGTTTGATTTGGATACTCTCTCTTACCCAATGTGCTGGCAAAACAGGACTACTTTTGCCAGGTCACTTTCATCCACTTGTATTCACTGACAAAGCCGAACACTTCTCTTAGAAGAATGGGCATACAGTGCCCTCCAGTGGATTAAAGCGACATTACGCCGCGGTGTATAAAGTCACCTGCATCAGCCCATGTTTTTGACAGTAGTTATTTCACTCGTTGACATTCAGATAACAATGGATGACGTAGAATTACTTTTTCAGCTCTTTGCAAAAGTCATCACAGTGTTTCCTCCTATGTACAGCTGCATATATTACAAATTCTGTTGAGGCATTAAAAACAGTCTACAGTAAAACCTACAGTAAAAGTAAGAAAGGTGACAGTGTAAAACATTACTTGCTACCAAGCGTAACCCACTCAGGACCAGTATTTGTGATTTCCAGTGGTTAAATATACAATAATTTAACAGCATGTTATTTATAGTCTTTTGGAGGATCTCCGCTCCGTTGCAGGATCACCGTGATCCCCTTATGCTTTCTAACGTAGCCCTTGCTCGTGGGTCTTCAGTGTCTGTCCTCCTCCTCAGTTTCCAGACAAAAATGTCCATCTTGTTTAAAATTTGCAGTCCAAGAGCTCGATCAGAGTCTGTGTGGGGATCAGTGCTTCATCTTCAAACTCTGCACTTCCTCCTGTGTAAAATACACATTTTTCAAAAACAGTTAATGACACCGCAGGTCTGATCTTCGAAACCACAACTTCCCTCTATTTGTTTCTTTCTTGTGTGAATGTGCATCGAGCAGTGAGTGCTAATGCATGCAAAACTCCAGACATGGCTCACTGACCTGCAGCGCCAGGCGTTTGCTTCTTTCCTCCCTCAGTTCTTCTTTCACTTCCTGCATGTCTCGCCTTATCAAAAGACAAAACAAAAAAAAGAGGAGGTTGTAGGACGTTGTCGAAATAGGTCAACTACACTGTCTGTCAAGTCAAATGAATGAAATAACTTAGAGTGGCGCTTCTTTAGAGGGAATGAATGAGAAAATACATCTTTAATTAGTACACATTTTGACTCGTCTGTTGACTTTTCCAGGGTGTCTGTGTTGGAAATATCATTATTTCCATTCGTTGAGTTCCATTTGGATCAGAGTGTTTGCAAATTAACATGTTTATGGTAAATCTGAAACTTCAACAAGTCTTCTTTACAACACCAAAACTAATCTGCAAAAAAATGTCTCCTGTGATTTTCTTTCATATCAAAGCGACAAGAGATGCAAAAGATCTAACGCTGCTGAGGCGCTTATTTCTTGACGGCGCATGCACATTATGTTTAGCACACTGTGTTTACGTCCTACGCTTAGATCAACCACTTCCTGTGTGTACGCTCAAAAATCTACAAACAACAAATTATTCTCGGAGAGGACACTCAGTCAGTGAAGATGCTGAACTTGAATGAACTTGAGTGTTGTGAAGGCCCCGTATGTAATTCAAGATGGTTCAAGATTGTTTTATTTTGGTGCCTCCGCGCCAGAGACAGCTGTGGCTGGAGGCGTTATGTTATTGGATTGTTCATCCATCCATCCAGTTTCTCTGAAAGCGATATCTCCTGATCACGTTGAGGTTTTTTTTGGTTTTTTTTCCCCCAAGTTTGGCACAAAAGTTTACTTGGACTCAAAATCAAATTATATTTTGGTTGTCAAACTTTAAGATCGCTTTGATCTAGTGCAGGATAATGTGGGAGAAATATTAATTGCTATTTTTCTGAGAGATATTTGACTATAATTGTAAAGTCAAGTTTCACTTAAGTTCTCACTGTGTGATAAAACATTACCACATTAGATATCACCAAAGCACGAATATTGCACAAGGACAACGGCATGAATTTAATAAATGATTTACATGACAGTTTAAACCTGCGACATGCATGCTGTAGCATGCAGCATGCTCAGCCTTTGCAAGTTGCTTATTTCATTGCTTCAACTTGCGATTATGATTCGAAATCAAATGTTCAGCCCTGCTGTGAATTCACAAAACATCCTTTAGCCCAAAACTCATAGATGTATTTGTTAATTGTGACCAAAATTCACACAAATATCTTTGAGGATAAACTGACAAAAGGTTAAAAGTCAGCTTCATTGCCACATCATAACTGGAGATGAATAGAAACTGTAACTTGACTGGTTTGTGGAGACGTACAACCACGAGGCTGTAATTCTGGCTGCATTTAAAACTATGTAAGAGCTCCATTTTTAACACTGAATCACCCTGTTGGGCTCTGAACATGCCCACGTTACAAATGAGTGGTACTCACTCTTGTCGTGTCTGAAGCAGCTCCAGCGCCATCCTCAGCTCTTTGATTTCAGCCTGCAGACTTTTCACAGTTGGCTCTTCTTTGTTGGTCACAGCGTTGCTATCCACAACGACTTTGGGCGGCGCTGGTCGGACTGGAGGCGGCGTCTTGGGTGGATGCTCAGGTTTTGCAGGAGATGACAGGAGATTATCTGTACCCTGCAGAGATTTAGGTGCATTTGATTGACATTCAAAACATGTTTTTTTTATCCTTATACTAAAATGTTTACTTATGTGAAATATATGATGCACAACATCCTTTAGGTAAATCAATTCTTCTCAGAAAATGGAGATCGCCTTCACACAAAAGTGCGCTTGATACCAGCTACAGCTGGTGGGTTGTCTGCTGACTCTTCTAGTTGAAGGTTTTAGAAGCCAGGAGCTAATTTCTGTCTGAATCATCCTGTTATCATAAAATGAATAAACACATGGGCTTGATTGCGTCCTAAAATAGGTTTGTGTCACAATTCTTTTGCAGACCAAACTATTTCTTGTTTAGAACTTTTTTAATGATCGTTCTGGTTCTGTCTGGTCCATGGCACTCCGGGATTGCAAAAAAGAAACACCACTGCTAACAAGCACTCCTCACAATTTGCTTAAGAAGTTTCATTCTTCAATGGCTGGTTAAGTACGAACACTAAAGTTACACTTAAGGGCATTAATTCCTTTATTTTCCAGTAATAACCCACATCAGGCCTCAACTTGTTAGTGTCAGAGGAAAGTCATAATGTGGGCAGCTCAGGAAAACTGGGGCATGTCTCTAACTGGAGCCTGTTTTCTTGCATCTCATGGCTTCTTTGCAAGAGCAGAAATTCTTATCTCCTCTATTACAATCATTTGTTTTGTATTATAGCTGAACCCTAATGTGAGGTTGCAAATAAGCACAGCCAGTAAAAGCCTTTTGTCTAACATTCAGCGCCCATGACGCACTTTGGGAAACATTTTCTAGAAAAAACATGGAAAAAGGTCTCCACATTTCAAAAAGTTCACCGGCAAACAAATAAAAGAGGCTGAAAGAGCACGGCATCGTTGGACCATTTTTATAAAAACAATGCTCCGCAGTGTAGCTAAAACCTAAGTACCTGATAAGCACACAATAGATGAAGTAGGGTGTTGCAGCTCCAATCTTAAAGTTGGAAAGGTCATCTGCAGAAGTGGTTGTTAGCTCTACCCACACGGTTTAGCAGGTTGCAATTTAAGTCTTCATTATGAAACCCTTCGCTTGCACATACTACAGGCAAAAGTGATAAATCAGTATTAGTCACCAACCAACGTGGACATACTTGCGCTGCTGCGACCAGGCCTGACGGTGGTCTCCTCTGAGGAGGTTTGGCTCTGTTGGCTGTAGGATGACTCAGCTTTTCAGTTTGCACGTCCACTCCGTCGAACTGGTCCTCGTCCTTCTCCTCCGGCCTTTTTGGTACGATGGGGGCCACATCACCGTTGGTTCTGCTGCAAACAGGAGCGACATTATGTAAGATTGAAATGGTCAACGTTTGACTTGAAGGGAAGAAAAAAAAAAGTGAAGAGAAAGAAGAGACAAGTCTCCTGAGACCTTTGTGAAAGAAGACTGGTGCATAGTCGGTAGTTCACGTTTTCAAAAGGAAAAAACAAATTTTAATGTGGTTTCCGATTTCCTACACTCTAACGGTTGCAGGTGCAGAGTGCGGCAGCTCAAGTCTTGATGTCTCTCCATGTGTCTTGTTTTATCCTCACATATGTTTCAGTGCACGAGGAAGGCTGGTACGCTATAGCATTTAACGGGCCAGATTTATCCGAGGTTTTTAAATAATCAGGCAGGATGTGAAGGCTTGGAGGAATAAGCTTATATAAACATTAAGGAGGATTTTTTTTTTTTAAAGAAGCTGGAAAAGTACCCCCCTCCAGATATATTTGCACGGAAACAATTTTCTAAAGCTCGTTCTCCATTAGGAGCCTTCTCAAGACAGGGCCGTTTTTGTTTTCTCAGTTTTGTGAGTGCGCCTGTTTGTGTGTGTTTGCTCAGGAAACAGGAAATGGGCTGCTCTCGTCTGCTTCAGCCTGATCTGACTCATCCCAGAGTTTCCACTGAGCCACTAAATGTCAGGCATCCTGGCATTCTTCTTTAAGGACACCATGGCAACCGGTGGAGGCAACCAAAACCTTTAACATCTAAAGACTCTGCTCCTGCTGCCAGACCAAAGAGGAGAAAGTGTTCCTGACATTTCCTAAAGGCTTTTTTTTTTTTTTTTTTTTGAGAGGTTTTGCATGTGTATCTCTTTTTGTGTCTGTGTTGTGGGGGGGGGGGATTTTTTTTTTTTTAGTGGTTGTGCATTTAGATTGGCAGTAAGAGAGAACATTAGGGATGCTTTGGTATCACTCACTTTGGTAAGAGCTTGGTAGGTTTGTCTTTGATTGGAGGCGGACTGGGCTTGTTGAGGGATGGAAGCTTGACTTTGGTTGGAGGAAGGCTTCTTAGGTCCTTAGGCTCTGGTTTATCATCTATAAAGCAAAGTCAACACATTACTCCACAACATTATTGAATTTCGGATGGAATAAGCCCTGCTAGCGTGATGCCACTGATACCTTTCGTCTTTGCTGGACCACCTTTGTCCATCGCTGAAGCCTCTGTCTTCCCTGAAACAAAAGGAAGTTGATGGAAATTTACCTCAAAGCGCAAAAAGTGCAGATGTGCAATAGTTGAAATTGGTCAGGATCATAACACCGACTGCACACAGAGACGCTCCTAAAGTAGGATTTTGTCAAAGCACCTGTAGAGCTTTTACCAAGTATCTTTGTGTATAACAGTATGAGTAGATATGGAGCATGTTGTTGCTACAGAACATGCAAGTTCAACAAGTCTATACTTTCTTGGTAAATGTTTGATTTTCCACTTTATGCAGATGTCTCCCGTGAAAGTGTTAGTCCACGCTATCTACTATGCTTACGCTGGCGTCGGCACTCATTTAAATCTGTTTTATTATTGTTTTAACTGATGTGACTCCAGGAAACTACAGTAAAAATCCATAGGCTTATTTTATTAGAGGGAATAGTTTGCATTTGTTTACTCCGGAAAGCTTTATGGTTGAATGTGGTAAAGAAAGAAAAAAAAAACATGCAATTGGTCTTAAACTGGAAGCTTGTTTAAAAGCAGTTGCGTGGAAAGGCAAACATGTGCACTTCACTGGAGCAGATCAGGTCACAGCTGTATCCAATAGCGCTGCAGATACATCCCCGTGGGTCTCAACAAGTTCATCAGGGACAGGCACTCTGACTCAGCTCATAGAAAAGAAACCCAGCCCCTTAAAGGAGTTAGTGAATAGATTCTTTTTTTTTAAATTCTGAAGCCTCTAAAAACAAAGTGACAGATCTCTGTTTGACATGCAAGTCAGGTGCTTGTTTGCGGTTGAGGAACCTGATTACAAGAATAAACTGCTCCAGTGCACAGCCCTCAAGAAAAAGAGCCAAAATGCGTTGCACTACGCTCACAACAGTCAACTCAGAGATGTACAACGGACCAAATGAAAACACAGGAAGCCTACCTTGAGTGTTCAGAGCATTGTGCAACATTCCCTCTTAAGCAAACCATCCACAGACCAGTTGTAGCTCAAGTGCTGTTTCTTGCTGGTTGTGAAAATCTCAGTGACAGAGCTCTCCTCCGTCCCCCCACCCCCTTGTTTCCTCCAAGACTCCTGAACTGTGTCACGTGACCAGTTTAACCATCCCCCATCTAACTAGTCTGAGACTTCCTGTGACATTCTTGTGAGTGGCACTGTGTGGAAATGCCGTAACAAGTGTCATTTTTGGTGCAGATTATGAGACTGCACTGAGATTCAGTTTGTTGTTCAGGTGGCATCTTTAAGTAACCGAGCAGCGGCAGCAGTGTGTTTGCCAAGTGTTTGTCTGCCTGCATATGAGAATGCACAGTTTTTTTTAATTTGAATTTGCCACCAAGGAAAGCGTTGGAAGTTCAAATTTGTTAACGAAATTTTTCTGTTGGGACAAAAATTTGCAGCACTCATCTGCCGAAGCGTGAGCCACATCCTGCTCCGTGTGACCTCCAGATTCAGTTTCTAGAGCGTCTTGTTTCAAAGTGTCTAAGTGCATTCACTCTTCTTTTAATCCCACTAAATAAAAAAAAACAAAAATACTGGCTGCTATTAACAACGTAAATATATACTAGAAACCTAAAAGTAATCCAAACTTGTACAAAAAATAAAAACCATCACTGAATGATAGTAACAAGCTGATCACACAGTATGACAGGATGTGTGTTTTGGAAAACGTTAATCGATTTGATAACTGGACAAGCAAAGATGCCACAGCTTAATCCAGGATGTAACCTTCTTTTCTTGATTTTACATTATAGTGAAAAATAAACAAAACGTGACATTTGATGCCATTTTGAACGTTTTATAGATGGATAGATTTATCTAGAAATGTTTTTATTAATCAAATATGGACTTTGATGCAACTAGTTCTCTGCGTTCTTGGTCGTTTCTTCATTCACCTGCTATAATTGGGTTACATTTTGGAAGATATTTCAGCTTCTGCATCTATTGTTAGTATGTGTTAGTGGGATAAATGTTGGGATGAAGCAGTAACAAAGTCTGAAAGTGGCAGCGCTTGCAATTCTGTAGAACAGTGGTTCTCAAACTGGGGGTCGGGACCTCCATGGGGGTCCCAGGATAATTTCAGGGGGTCGACAGATCATTGTAAAAGAAAAAATAAATATAATAAAGCCTACATTTATCAAATAAATTTGTATAAGGGCTGTCAAAATTAAAAGTGCATATTTCTTTTCACACCTTTTTCGAACTTGTTAATATTCTGATTTGATTATGAAATATTATTATTGTTTTTTGCTCTTTTTTAAATCTCTTATTTTCTTTTTTTTCGTTTCATCTGTACGAAATAAATTCAATTCATTCAAAAGAAAATTAACGTGTTGATGTAAAGATATTAATCTGTGGAATTAACACATTAATTTTTAAGGCATTAATGCATGAACAACAAAGTTATTACTCATGCCATGTTAAAAATTCAAACTGGGGGGGCACGAATACAAACTTATGCTATCTTTGGGGTTGTGGCTCAAAAAGTCTGAGAGCTGCTGCTGTAGAGGAATGTTTGTAATTCAGCTATATCTGAGCAGAGAATGTCACCAATCGCTTGTGAATGCATTTATTCTAACAGTACGAGATCAGTGTGTCAGAAACATGCTCACAAAACTCTTGTGACTCCAGGTCATCTGTGCATTCAGTGAAAATAGTCTTTTCTGGATGCAAAAGCATAATTTAGTCTAAATCTGGTAAAGTGTTGTGATGAATACTGTGGATCACGCAGAAGTAAAAGGTTTCTTTCAGCACACAGAAGACAATCCAAGTGTATTTAGCCCATTTAGTGAATCAGGAAGTCACAACCACACTGTAAGAGCTTTAGGTTGCTTCGGTGGTGCTCTGGGGGACCATTTCAGTTGCTGAAAAGCACCCAAGCCAATAATGCTTCCAATTCCTCCATCTGCTAAAACAACAGGCCATCGCAGTCCAAACTATCAGAGCTCTGCCAGGCTAAACACCGCTGCAGCCAGAAATCATGAGTTTAGAAGAGAGCCACTAAAACATGAAGCTCAGCTCCCCACTTCAGCGTCAAACAGCACCTGCCTCTGTGCAGCTGTGTTTGATCAACGTAAAATACATGTTGTCCTCTTACCTGGGAGTTTCGTACTGTTGCTGCGTGCAGGCGGCTGGCTCGTGTTCCCAGACTAGAGGAGGAGGAACAGGAAACTCAACAGGTTGGCCAGTACGTCTCCTTGTGCGTTAAAGACACATTCTTTCCATTGAGGGAAATTTTAGTGAGTAACTCCAAAACAGAGGATGTTAAAAGACAACGCTGAGTCATGGAGTGACAGACTTGCTAAAGCAACACAAAGCGAGCTGAGAGACATCATGTACTTTTAATTTTAAGAGCAGTTCAGTGCAACATAAGAAGTAAATCTAACGTCCATTACCATAAAGCACGCTAATGGTTTCAGCATGGTCCCTGTTGAAGATGTGGAAAATCTTGCACAACAGGGTTATATCTGTGTTGCAGTGCACTCACTTGCAGGCTGTCCATTGGCGGTATCACCATGACAAAGTTATCAGGAAAGAAGCCGCAACGCCCGTTTAGCTCTCCCTCCCACCAGCCTTCATCTTCTGTTTCCTTCGGATGGAGATTAAAGAGTCACATCAGAAGCTCAAACAAGACTCTGTCCTTTGGGATGTCAAATTGCTGAACAAAAGGTTACGAAAAGGTCGAGCAGAACATGGCTTCCTTGTTATCAGTTAATCATAGTGGCTTTCCTACAAATTATTTTTTGTTTGTTGTTTTTTCTGATACAATATGTTTTGGGCAACTGCCACATTCGTGCCATCATCTTGGAAGCAGAAGCACATGATTTCCTTGAAAGCAGCAAAACTGGTTGGACCGGATGAACGATGCTTCGTCAGAACAACAGATCGGTGGAGTTTAGCCGTCTGTCAAAAGTATGACACCGTGTGAACACAATACCAGAGAACAAAGATGTCTGCTCTCACCTTCCTCAGTATCACAACAACATCTCCTTTCTTCATCTCCAGCTCGTCCTCTGCTTTGGCCTTGTAGTCAAACATGACTTGGCAACACTCCGAAGCTGAGGAAACATCGTGGAGGAGATAAGGTGGTGAACAGCCTTACAGAAACTCTTTATTGAAGGTGTGATGTGGAAAAGGAGGTGCCCAAAAAATCCTATCAGCGACCTCCGCAATAGTTCAAAGAGTAATCGGAAAGAACTTGTAACGAACTGGAGATAAACGTTGCAAACCTTTAACCCTGCAGGATATTTCACAACGCGGTCATGTGTGTGGTGATTAATGAAGACGTAACACTGTAGAGCAATTACATGTGACCCGATTCGTAAACCGCTCGCGTCAAAATACAGGAATTTCCACTTGTCACATGTTGACACTGTGTCAGGCTGTAAACAAACTAATTGCTTTTTAAAAATAGAAACCGTGTTGAAAATGAGGAAATTCCCCTCAGTGCCAAAACTTTAGCTGCAACAAGAGCTTTGTGTGATGTAACAGAAAAGTGTGAACTTACAGTTTCTGCCTTTGTTCCTCACACTTGCTCTCTGCGACGTCTTCACGGGAACAGAAAAACAAGATTAAGTACGAAAACAGATCTTGTATTTTTGAGGCAAGCTGTTTCTGCGTTACATACCTCCTTAGTGAACACAGCATCTGTGAGTTTGGGTCTTGACTTGCCCTCGTTGTGCTTTCCATCTGTTTAAAAAACCAATGCTGTTTAATAATGTTCATTTAGGCAACAACAACAACTAAAGATGGCTTTAGCACCAACCTTTAGGGATGACAAATACTTCTTTGACAAAGTTGGAAGGGAATGCTCCCACTTTTCCATTTTTCAGCCCCATCCACCAGCCATCCTCGATCTGTCATAAAGAAAATATAAAAACAGGTGATTATACAGCTTTAAATGTCACAGTCATCATCCTGTTTGCATATCTTCAATATGCAAGAGAAACAATAAAGAATACCGAAACTTAAAAAAAGATGATTAATTATTAATTGTTGAGGTGTGTTTGGCTGAGAAATCACTTCCTCCACGCCTGGATTAAGATACAATGCTAGTTTCTGACAACTGGGCAGCTTCAGGAAATGGTAGGAAGATGCCTTCCTTCTGGGCAACTAGTCACGTATCGACAGTGATCAACGCTAGTCAAGTGTTCAGCATCATGTCTGTTATTCCAAGCTTGAAGGTGCTTCCAGATAGATCTAAGTAACTTTGGTTATTCGAGTTCAAAAGGTGAGAGCAGAAGAACTCTACCTCTCTGATGATCTGTACAGTCTCGCCAACAACCAGCTCCAGCTCGTCTTCATTCAAGGGAGAGTAGGAAAACGCTACCTCGCATATCCTCGTCTGTTTCATCCTCTTGGCTGGAAAACAAAACAAAGCATCACCGACCACAAGAACCGGTCAAGTTCATAATCTGGTGCAGATGAAAACGTCTCGCTAATGGTGTGTTTGGGGTTGGACGGCGAGGTGGTCGAGTCTCAACAGCCCGGCGATAAGACGGTGCAGCTCTTGGCCCTCATTCATGTTTCTAACATGTTTAATCCCTCAAAGTCTCTGTGTTTGTCTTTAACGGGTCTATTTTTATACGGTGTAATTAGGTTTTGTGTGGCAAGGATGTGGTAAACATATATTTACAGTCAGCTTGCCTGCTGCGCTGCTTTGCCGAATACATGCACCACGATGACCACAGTTTTAAACGCTTGTTTTTTGTTTGATCATAAATGTTAGATCAGAAGAAGTAGAGTGGAGTAGCATCGTCACGTGGATTATTATTAGTTGACCTATGTGCAAGATAGGCGATTTATATTCTAATAGATTTTTTAAAATGTTTAATTATTCTGAATATTGAAGTTAAGGTAATGATCTCTAAATGGCAGACATATTGTGGCTGACATTATAATTCTATATGAATATTAAATTAGGGAGCAACTGTTCTCTTTCAAAATAAAACTTTTTAATTTTAAAGTTAAAAAAGAGCCTAAATAAAAGTTCAAAATATTGCAATATTTATTCATTTACTTCCTTTTTTGAAATTGAAAATTTAAATAAACAGAGCAAAACTATGTCAGAATGAATTTATAGTATTTATAGTATAAAACTGAAGCTATTTATATGCTTCTGGAGCTAAGCATGTTGCTGTTAACAGGTTAAGAATAGAAAAACGTAGCACTGTACTTTTTCTGATGCTTCGTGGTTCCCTCTTGCTGTCCCCCATCAAATCCACCGGCACCTCCTGCAAAGAAAAAAAAGGTGCATGTTTAACGCCAACATGAGCTCACACACAGACACACGGTGTACAGTAACATTACAACGCTCTGGGCTGTGGACTAATAGCTGACCTTGACAAAGTTGGCGGGGAAGATTCCTCTCTTCCCTCTCAGCTCCCCCTGCAGCCATCCTTCCTCGCTGGCCCTGGTGACATTTTTGACCACATCCCCCATCTTCACTGAGATCTCGTCACTCATGGTGCCCTCGAAGTCGATCAGCACCAGCACCTCTACAGTGCATCCGTAAATGGGGCAGAAAATTAGATTCTGTGCACGAAGGCTGGTGTACTTGCCTCTCAAGTGATGCGTCCTGACATTTTAAAACCAAGACGAACCCTCTGAGCAGCGGAGGCTATAGCCAAGGGTGAATGTGGATTACTACAGATTAAACTGTACAGTTTTCTTTCATTACTCTCTTACAAGTGGAAAGATGTATTTCCCCCTGCCGGTGTTTTCCTCCAGCTTCAAGAGAATTTTTTAACAGAACTGAAACCCAGCAAATTACAGAAAAGTCAGCAACTGTTGCGGTGGAGCTCGTTGGATACATATTTATACATAGCTCATTCAAATTTCTCAGCAAGCACAAACATGTACATTCAATCTGTGCAAAGACCATGCAGTGGTATTCACCTACCAATGCTTTAGTTTTATTTGCATTTCAAATTTTAAAAAAACTTCCTCAATCCACAGCATTTCTAGTAAACACAAAACAACTCAATTTGGTCACCACTCAGCTGTTGTTCTTTATGTTTTACCACAACAACCCTCATTCTTAGAAAAAAAAAGGCACCTAAGGATCAAAATGTGAAGAAATTCCACCAGTATATTATGAAAAATGACAGCGCGATAATGCTGACTCACCCATTGTGTCTTTCATCGGTTCTCCCTCAGGATTTGAATATGTAATTCCTTCACAGAGCAGCAAACAAACGCTTATGTAGAAGGAGAACTGAGAGAGTGCGGCCAAGTGTTGTCTAAGTGAGAGATATGGCAGCCAAGGCCCTTCTTCCTACTTGTCAAACATTAACATTGAGCAACTTTTCCTGAGGCTAGTCATGGCAAGTCAATAGCAAGCAGCAGAATGGGTTGCACAGTACAGAGAGAGAGAGAGAGAGAGAGAGAGGGAGGGAAGAGAGAGAGAGAGAAAACGAGACACAAGAACAGGTAAGACGGGTTTAAAGTCAAAGAACAAAGCTGGTAATAAGTGGAACTTTTGTGGGTCATGACAATTCAAGTTGTCTGCGGCGACCGAAATGTTCAAACACAAAAGTCAGCATTCAGAAGCAACACAATTGCACTTTTACTCTGCTCCCTGTAGTGTCAGATTCCAATTCAAAACCAGTTCAAAGTAAAAAAATGAAAACGTGATTGTACTCTTGTTGACTTTTGTTGACCCCTTGAGGCAAAAGGGGGGTGGGAATTTTTAGACGGCAAGTGCTAACAATAAATGGCAAAGAAATGCAACAATAGAAATAGAAAAAACCTTTTATTTTTTTAATTTGTGTCATAACACCTTCTTTCTTTCCTCTGCTCCAGTTAATATGTCATCAGGGTTAGTCATCACAAAAGGAAATCTACTCAACTCAAGAACTTCCTCTTCGTGTAAAAGGTTGTTTTATAGCCATTTGCACTATTATTAATAGTATAGTATTGTTAAGACTATTATAGCATACTAGCACCATTAGGCAGCTGTCTAATCAGTCCCAAATTCCTTCCCTAGCATGATAGTGAGCTCAAGCATACAGCCAAAGTAATAAAGAACGCTTTTCAGGAGAGATAAGAACCCGAGGCAGAGACCTGCAACAGGGCAGCACGATTATGGAGTTAGATTTTTCTGCATATGCACGTTCTATTAAGGTAAATATCCAAACCTCACATAAACTTTTACCAGTCAGTACAAACTATTTCCACATGCATACTAATTTAAAGTAAAAGTCAAAACAGTGCTTCGATAATCACAAAATTAGACAACATCAACCGGAGTTTTGGTCAGAAAACAGAGTATCTGGAGTCCTCCAGGTACTCTGAGTGAAGCAGGTGATCTTGACCTTAAGCAAATCAGGATAAGCTGCCACACCTCGAGATGCTCTGACCTGACAGCATAATAAAAGAGGAGGACAGCGCCGTTAAAGAGGAACAGCCTGATCCCACACAGCCTCTACACAGACATTCTTATACATGCACACGTGTGAGAATTAACCTGCTTTTACAATGCATACGGGAATGTCTGAACTATTTGTCCTTGATGGTAGTGTTTATCTGAATATCTAAATATGTAGGTGTTGGCTGTCGCTGAGATGTTTATTTGTGTAGAAGGTAAAACCCAGCCGGGAGTTTTTGTGTTTGGCTGCTGAGTCAGGTAGGAGTTGTACCTCTTGCTGATAAATGCACTAGCACTGCGCTGGTTTGTTGCAACACAAACCAGCACACAGTCTCTGGTCCTCATGGATTGTTCTGTGTTTAGCATCCCTCTGTGTTGTTGTGCTAACTGGTGGAGGTCTGGCACATGAAGCTGCGGTTAAATAGAGAAAAAAAAAAAAACAATGCTTGCTGAAAGGTTCATTTTCAACCTGTATTGCTCTCACAACCATCCATTATCTATACACCGCGTAATCCTCACTAGGCTCACGGGGGGCTGGAGTCTATCCCAGCTGACTCAGGGTGAAGGCAGGGGACACCCTGGACAGGTCACCAGTCTATCACAGGGCTACAATTACAGACAGCCAACCACACTCACATTCACACAATGACAATTTAGAATCACCAATTAAGCTCAGCATATTTTTGGAGTGTGGGAGGAAGCCGGAGAACCCGGTGAGAACCCACGCTGCACGGGGAAAAACATGGAGACTCCACGCAGAAAGATCCCGGGTGTCCTTGTTCAGGGGTCGCGAACTGGCGACCTTCTCGCTGCGAAGCAACAGTGCTAACCACTGAGCCACCTGGGGGGGCTGGACTCTATCCCAGCTGACTTAGGGTGAAGGCAGGGGACACCCTGGACAGGTCACCAGTCTATCACAGGGCTACACTTAGAGACAGACAACCAAGCACACTCACATTCACACCTACAGACAATTTAGAATCACCAGTTAACCTCAGCATGTTTTTGGACCTTGGACCCTACGCAGAAAGATCCCGGGTGTCCTCACTGGCGACCTTCTAGCTGTGAGGCAACAATGCTAACCACTGCTCCACCTTGCAGACCGTGGGGGGGCTGGACTCTATTATTGCTCTTACACCTACAGGAAACTGCAATAAATAAATACATAAGAGGCAAAATATCAACGTAATCAGTGTCTCTTTAATTTACAGTCTCTAAGAAAAAACATTGACAACTATTTATTTTTTTAAAAAAGCAATATTTCCTAAGAAGGTAGCCTTTAAACAATTAAATGTGAATCTCAATCTGTAGGCCTGTATTGTACAAGTAAGACCAGTGCACCCACAGCAAGGCACACAAACGATGTCATGAAATCGTATGGCCAGTTAGCCAAATCTTAAAGAAACATTCACAAAAACAACAACATTCTATTATTAGACTTATTTGTATTCTTGTTACAAACTACAGCCTAAACAGATTCTAATTTTCAACCCGGTTTTATCATAATGTTGACGCACGCAATTTACATTAACGATAAACCATCATTAGCTGGAGAAAAGTTCGCAAACACCCATGAAAAATACATCAAAATATAAGGCAATAAAAGCAAACTCTCCATTATAATCAGAAATCCTGACGAGCCAGGTACAAAAACTATCATGAATGTCTTTGGAAGAAAAAAAAATAAAATCAGTATCAATATTATACATTGATAAGTGGTATCCAACATCAAGCAAAAGCTACTGTGAAGTACAGAAATGTCTCGGAGCCCAATGTCTAATGAGCGTGTAGATGTACAGGTACTTGGTATCAGACAGGTGCATGTGTTTCTAGCTAGTGTGGTGAATGGTGTCAGCCCTGTACAGTTTGGTCCCATTGTCAGATCAGGGTCATCTGTAGACTCTTAAATTGCCTAAACAGTGGTGTTTGTATGTCAACATGAACACGACAGCGTACGTTTAGTCACAGAAATCCAGGCAAAGACACGACTCAAAACAACATACCTGCATTTCTTCACACTCACGGCTGGGGGACATAAATGATATCTGGATGCATTTTCAGTATCGCTGATCTCAAAGTCTACTTAGAAAACATTTGTTTTCACAAGTATAAGGCAGAAGTAGATCAACAATGTGCAGGATTTTTTTTTTTTCTCGTGCAAATTCAAAATACAAAAGCCAAGAAAGACTTATTTTGAATCTGCCAAATTAGAAATGTGCATATTTTACTAAAATGCTGCACGGAAGTTTATGAAAAAAAACAAAAAAAGAGGCGAAGAAACGTTTAACAAAATTTTTCATAAGAAACAGCAATTCACCTTTAAACAGTGCTTCTACTAGTCACAATCTGCATCCTGACGGAGGAAATGGTTGTGTCAAGTCAAAGTGAGTATTCTATCCTGAAATTAAAGCGTTTTCATAGCGACAGCTGAGTCGTAAAAACATTTCCATCTGCATTTATGGATCCATTGTAGCGGATAAAATCACTGAGTCACACCACGTAACGACACAAAGGACAGTTAAGATTTTCAGCCACTGCTCAAGTATTGTCTCCATCCACGTCTGGCCCTTTATGGTCCTGTTCTGCCTCCTTGTCCTGCATCCCACCTTGCTCCCCATTGCCATGGAACTTATCAGCGGCCCATTTGGGGTTACTGGCGTCAGAGACCCCGGTGGCTTTGCGGATGATGAATCGTGCCCTTCCGCGTGTGAAGCTTCCTCGTCCTCGCCCTCGGTTGTCCATCCACTTGCAGTCTGATTCTCCGTCTCTGTCATCGTGCTGAAAATGAAAAAAAAGGGGGGGGGATGAAAATGTGTCAGGAGCTCAATGACAAAAGCATGAACTACACGGACAGACGCGAGACGTGGTTCCACATGAATGAAACTAGAAGTGGGAGACAAATGAGCAAAGAGATCAGTCCTACCAAGTAGTATTTTTTGCTCTTGGGAGTGTACTCTGGGTCCCAGTCTTCATTTTTTAGGTGCACTGCCATGCTCACAGGATTACTGTGTGAACCATTTCCCTGATAACTGCCTCGGTTCCAGCCCCTTCCACGGATTCTTACTTGCTGTAATTTGAGAAAAGACAAACAATTGAAAAGAAGCAAAAATCACAAATATAAAGAAAACTGGGAGATGTAGCTACTGCACCAAACTCTGCTCCTTATTAAACTTACAAATCCTCCGCGTGGCCGTCCTCTTTCAACCGATCCTGGAGACTCCCTTTGACCCAGCCGGGCCCTGTTAAAACCTTCATCTTTTGAATCAGACTTGTCATGAGGTAAGCCTTCATCTTTCTGAGACTTAGAGGATGAGGAAGATGAGGACGAACTGGAGCGAGAGCGCTTCTTCTTACTTTTCCTAAAGACAAGATCGTACATGCAAATTCCTTCCTTTCCAACTGTTTATGGTGCAAGGTATATGAACAGAATCATTCAGCATAATGGCAGACAGTTTCAGAGAATAAATTACAAGGCAGCTCCACATACTTTGATCTCTTGCGGTATTTGGAGAACTTATCCACAGATCTCTCTCTACTAGAATCTGGGGAATCTCCCGTATCTCTTCCCCGATCCTGATTATAATCTCTGTCATGGGTGGAATATTTTTTACGGCGCTCAATATCCAAACGAAGGTCCGTGGGGTCACCCTTCATTTTTTCTCCGCCGTCCTGAGCAAATCAAAACAGAACACAACGTCGTGGACAGACTTTGGATTAGCACGTCGATGCTATCAGTCTGCTCTCAGCCAAGCTGGTTTGTAAACTAAATAGTGAGGACCATGGGAAAAAGAAGAAAACCCGAGTGAAAGCCAGCTGGCATGAATAAAACCAAGCCATTCTGGGGTGAATTTTCCAGTGCACTCAAAGAGCCATACCAGTGGTTTTACATGTTTTCACTGCCTTCTAAAACTCTGAACCATTCCCCAAAGCACATGTTTTT